TCCGCTGCGCTGCTTCCCAGCCTATGATGATGATGATACGAATGTGTTGTTATTGATTTCCCGTTGTTTCACTCTTTGCGTCGCGCACATTGACACCTTGTGAATGTTGCACCTATGCTGCTGGTTGTTGCCACTTTCGTCATTGCTAGATCCTAGGCTTTCAGTGCATTTCACTTTCTGATATGCTACAAGTGGTATCAGAGCTAGTGCGATGAATCTTGGCAACAACCAATCAATCGATTGATTGATTGGATTGGTGGTTTGCCACCAATCAATCTTCGATTGATTGATCAGTCAATCAGAAGATTGATCGAACAATAGATCAATCAACCAGCAATCAACCAGCAATCAACCAGCAATCATCTGAGACTGACTGATTGATTGATTGATTGATTGATTGATTGATTGATTGATTAATTAAGTTGATTGATTATTTGGCAATTGTTTATTTAATCTTGGAAGTTTCCCGGAATTAATTTTTTTTTTCCGAGAAATTATTTCTTTTTCCAAGAAAAAAAAAAAATTCCCGAGAATTTTTTTTTTTCAAGAAGTTCTTATTCTTTTCCGAAAAATTATTTTTCCGAGAAATTTGGTTTCCGAGAATTTTTTTCCGTTCCGAGAATTCTTTTTCCGAGAATTTTTTTTTTTTTTACCTTGTTTAATTATTAAATGTCTGCATTTTGATAATTTCGCAATTCTTTTTCCGAAACTGTCCCTCTACACTTTCACTGCATAGGTCTGCAAACTCCGTTCCTTTTTTTCAAAAAAAAAAAAAACGGCATTTTTTTTCTTTTGCAAACTACTACTCTGAGTTATAAAGACCCTTCTTTTCTGATTCTCTGCAGTCCGAGCACCGAAGGTTCACATTTGCTTTCTGCATCACCTTCGGTACTCAGTGGGATTGGACAGACTTTTTCCGAATTTTAAAGTTTTGTTTTTCTTCTTTTTGATTAGGAAACTGTTCAAATTGGGATCTGTMCGATCCTTCCCACTTGTMTGCTTYCTACCTATTCCTCCCCCTCCAGTCCGGGTACTGGGCCAGTCCATCAGATTGGCCCTCGAGTGACTCTTCAGACTTCGGGCACAGCAGTGCATGACACTGCTCACTCGATCA